GGTCTGAGAGCTGTCATCCAGGCTGGGCTCACACTAGCCCTGGGAATAGCTCTGCCTGCCCCTCCGGCTGCTGGAGGTCACAGGGACACAGAGTGAGGAGGGAGCACTGCGGCTGGGAGGCTGGAACGTCAGCCACAGTGCTCAAAGCTTTTCAGCTGGAAGCCAGAATTGTATATTGAACCCAACCATGTTATCCACATCCAAGCCAAGCTACTCTGAGTAACTAGGAGAGGAGAGAGGGAAAAACTAGAGGAGAGCTGCGTCTCCTGCTAGAGCCCTCCCGAGCCCTGACAGAGCTGATGAGGAGGGCTCCTCGCTGACCTCTTGAGCTCCAGGCCTGAAGCCGCTGGCACTGATGGCCACAGAAGTCCCAGTGAGTGTGTGCAGGGGCCTGGAGCAGGCTGTGCCGGCCACTTGGAGGAGGCCTTTGCACAGTGCCTGGGTTGGGCTGGGGAGGATCACAGTATAATCTCTTCCATATTTCTATTTGTAAATCAGAGATGGAGAAGTGTATATGCCTGCCTCACTGGGGGGTAAAAGCAACCAAGTGTAAGACACAACAGCACAGTGCCTGGACTGTACATTGTACTGGATTAATGGTCTCTTCTGTATTTTTATTTTTCTTCTGTTTATTCAAAATTATATGCATATAGTATTTTATCAGCAAATGTCTTCGACTTGTCCATTTCCTGTTCCTCAGGCATGGCCTAACTTGAAGTTCTTAGAGGTGATGAATGCCTGCAGGCCCAGAGCAACCTAGACACTCTTACCATCATTGGAATGCCCGCTCTCTGCCGGGCCCTGGCTATTCACATGGGACACAAGGACCTTCAAGGAGTTGGGAGAAAGACAAGTGAACAGAGAAGAGTCATAGAGCAGTAAGAGCTATGTGAAGGTGAGTGTAAGCTCCGCGTGTACAGTAGGGGGCGCTTCTTTGAGACTGAGAATTGCAGTCAAAGATGGTCTTCCTGCTTTCTTTCTTTTGGACATGGTGAGACACTCCTGTAAATGCAGCTGCAGTTCAGGAGGCTGAGGCAGGGGGATCACAAATTTGAGGTCAGCTTATGCAACTTAGCAAGATAAAAATACAAAAAGAGCCAGAGGAGCAGCTCAGCATTAAATTGCTTGCCTTGGCTATATGAGGTCCCTGGTTCAATCTCCAGTACCACAGCCACACATACAAGACAATTTTATTATTTATTTTGTATTTCTTAGGGAAGGGTCTACAGAGTGTTCAGGGTCCCACTACTAGATCAGACTCATAGTGATCTGCCTGTTTACAGCCTCCCAAGAGCTGGGATTACAGGTGTGCGCCACCACACCCAGTCTCAATTGCTGTCTCAGCATGCCCTGGGGGCAGGGCTGGCATGGCTGGCCTGGGAATCAAACCCTTGGCCCCTGCACCTGCTTGCAGGAGCTTTAATCTGCTGAGCTATTTGGCCAGCCCTCAATTTTATTTTGATTTCTTATTCTTTATTGACAATGTCTACAATGGATCATGGCTACAACAAATGGTCACCTATTCCTCCTTATTGTTTTCTAAAATATCCACAGGAGTGTTCTTGCCATTTAAAACCCTGGTCTTAAGCTCCCTTTCAGAAGAACAATTGATTTTCCCATCAACAGTCCATTTAGGTATTAGCTATGAGGGAGCAGGGAGCCAAGCACTCATATATGGTTTCTGGGAATGCGCCTTTGTCTCCTTACATCTGGTCTCCAATTGCATGCCTGGAAACCTGCACACTTCAACATGAGGAATCGTAGGGACCATTGCGAGGCTCCTGGCCAAGTCTGCCTTTGCAAGGAGGGGAAACTGCAGCAACTAACTAGGTAAAATAAAGCAAGCATGGTACTGGTTGTAGAACATCCAGGCAAAACAGAGTTTCAGTGATGACTGCACTGTTCTCTCCACTGCAATTAGAATGAAAGCAAGAGACAGCTCAGCTGGGAAAGGAAACAGAATCCAGATTTGCATCTCTGGGCTCAAGCAGAACTGCTGAATGGAGCTGCATTCTAACAGACTGCGAGGGAAGAGGTCTGAACAGCAAACCTCCAAGGACACTAAAGACCACATGCAAGCAGTGCAGGTGTAGTGGTGACACCAAAGCCCCCCAAGGATCTGCCTCACACCCATTCATTCAATCCACAAGTAAATACTATATGCACCTGCATGGCAGATGCCTGCAATTCAAAGAAGCCCCGCAAGCTCCTTCACTCTGTTTTTCACTTATTGCCGCTGGACTTGCCTTCATGATTTTTCATGTCACAATCCGTAAAGGAAACATCTCCTGGATGCATTCTGAGAATACCTTTTTACTTGTCTCCTGGGGCTTCCCAGGACTTGTTTATAATCTGAGTAACAAGATAGTTTCTTTTCGGGTATACTAGTTTCCACATATTTATCTAATACAAGAAAAAAGGGTCATTGATTTTTATAAACCCATACATTGAGGAGAAAAATAAGCTCTGAGCTCATTTTGGGAGAGCTAGAAAGGACCAGCCTTTTATATATGATTAGGAAAGTAATTTCTGAATTCACAGAAGAGAAAGAGTACAGGTGACGATCCCATCAGCTGCAGTGCTACTAGTTATCTCTGTTGATGGAGTTGCTATTTTGATTCAGTGACCTCAAAATCACATCACTCCTGTCGGAGAGAAATGACCTGATTCTGGAAAATGAAACAGCCTCTGGCTTTGCCTCCTGATGTACAAGAATACAGCTGAATATAGATAACAATGCTGCATACTCAGAGATTAACAAGGCATTTATGTCCATTAGAAAACAGTTCTACCTAAACACCAGGTCCTCAAATGTGAACAAATATTCCTCAGGTTAACTACAGGATCAAACAGCTGAGCGAGGAGAGGGCCCCTGGAAGCTCAAGTGCAAGGGGCCAGTGCCCATGCAAATCTACCAGATGTCAATCTAAAGGACATCAAGAGTGACATCCTGGTTGAGGGGAAATGATGTGTTAGTACCAATCTTGCCTTACAAAAATGTTTAGGAAAATAGCTATCACACAAGTAGTCTAATATCTAGTATCATCTTTTGGTGTAGGTAAAGCCACTAGTTCTATTCTTTGCATCTACCATGCAGGTTTGATCCAGAAATGTGCTATAATTTCACTAACCAGTTGCACCCTAGATTTTCAAATTCTAAATTCTGCTCCACAAAGAAGTAAAGTCATGATGGGAGACACATTCAGCCACCAAGTGTTTCTCCCTCACTGGGCATCTCTGCTCCTCTACAATGTGTTGGTAGAAGGTTTCATACATAAATAAATCCAGGGCCAATGGTGACCCAGAATTTCATACATAAGTAAATCCAGGGCCAATGGTGACCTGAGTTCAGGAGATACACAAAGGTGCTGACTGTAATGAAGGAAGTAGGTGTGTCTGCACAGGGCAAACACCAGGAGCCATCTGCACAAGGCAAAACGAAAAGGTAGTTTTCAGCCAGGGACCAGCCTTGTCCCTGTTGAGTCTGCTTAGC